GGGTGTCCTGGATCAGGGGGGGGGTCCCCACTGGGGTGCCTGGCCAGTCTGGGTGAGGGGCTGAGGGCCATTTTCAGGCTGGCGGGTGACTGAAGCTCCCAACCTTTCCTTTTTTCCTTTTTTTTTTTTTATTCTGGGCCAGATTTAGCTCTGAGGCTTGGCTCCAGCTCTGAGGCCTCGCCTGCTGAAAGTAGGTATCTGGTTTTTTGGGGTTCTATAATTGTAACACTGTTGCAGTCCTGCTCACTCTAGCTCTGAGATCCCGGCTGACTGAAAGCAGGGATCTGCGTTTGTTCTATAACTGAAACAATGTTGCGGTCCTGCTGGCTGAAGCCCGGCTGACTGAAAGCAGGTTTCTGGGGTTTTGTTTAGCTTCTATATTTGTAACAATGTTTCTTAAACTGCAAGCTCAGAGGCCAGCAAGGCAGGTGGGGAACATTGGCTTCCTCCGTCACTGAAGCAAGCAAGCCTCCTGTTCGCTTCAAGCTGCCTGGCTGCGGTCGCCATCTTGGTTGGCAGATAATTTGCTTATCACCCTGATAAGCCAATGGGTAGCAGAGGTACGGCTAATTACCATGTTCCTCTTTTATTAGCTAGGATATAGGATGTCCCTATTCCCCCCTTTTGCCCCCTCTCCCCAGCTCTTGCCCCCACTTCTCTCTGGCCATAACCATATTGTTGTCTGTGTCCATGGGTTGTGCATATATTTTCTTTGGCTAATCCCTTCTTTAAATTCACTTTTTTAAATTTGCATTTTCAGATAAGTGCTTATAACTGCACTATTATATATTTTCTATTATATCATTTAGAATTAAGATATTTTTTAATTGAACCCTTGTAAATTTAAGTGCAATTTAATAAATTATGCTAGAAGCAATTAGGAGATTTTTCATGTAATGCAGATACATTTTAATTAATATTTTATTAATTTTATTTTATTAATATTTCAATTTGAAAAAATCTCATACATGTAAAAGGGCAAGCAGGCCCCCACAGAGCACAGACACCAGGGCCTGCAGTGGCATCAAGCAGGCAGCACCACAGAGAGCAGCGAACCACAGAAAGCAGGCCTAAGCCATCAGTAGGACATCCCCTGAGGGGTCCCATATTGAAGAGGGTGCAGGTCGGGCTGAGGGAACCACCCCCACCCTCGTGCACGAATTTCATGCTCCAGGCCCCTAGTCCTATCTAATAATAGACAAACATGGTATTAACCGTAACTTCGCTACCCTTCCCATTGGCTAATCAGCGAGATATGCAAATTAACTGCCAACTAATATGGTGGCCGGCAGCCAGGCAGCTGAAGCGAACAGGAGGCTTGCTTGCTCCAGTGATGGAGGGAGCCAAGGTTCCCCGCCTGCTGCTGCCGGCCTCTGAGCTACACCCTAAGAAACAATGTTGCAATTATAGAAGCCAAACAAACCCAGATACCTGCTTTCAGCAGCCGAGGTCCCCTCATCCAGGCTGGCCAGGCACCCAAGCAGGACCCCCACCTTGATCCGGGACATTATTCAGGAAAAACCAGCCGGCCCCCACCCAAGCTCCAGGCCTCTATCCTATATAGTAAAAGCGTAATATGCAAACTGACCCTAACAGCAGAAGGACTGGGAATGACTGGTCACTATGACACACACTGACCACCAGGGGGCAGACGCTCAATGCAGGAGCTGCCCTCTGGTGGTCAGGGCGCTCTCACATGGGAGGAGCTCTGCTCAGCCACAAGCCAAGCTGATGGCTGCCAGTACAGCGGTGGTGGTGGGAGCCTCTCCTGCCTCCTCAACAGCACTAAGGATGTCCGACTGCAGTTTAGGCCTGCTCCCCGCTGGCAAGTGGACATCTCCCGAGGGCTGCTGGGCTGCCAGAGGGATGTCTGATTGCCATCTTAGGCCCAATCCCCCAGGGAGCAGGCCTAAGCCAGCAGGTGGTCATCTCCTGAGGGGTCCCAGACTGCGAGAGGGCACAGGCCGGGCTGAGGGACCCCTCCTCCCCCCTGAGTGCACAAATTTTTGTGCACCGGGCCTCTAGTATATACATAAAAGGCTAATATGCAATTTGTCCAGTCTGGAGTTCCACTGGGAGAGCAGAAGTTCCATCGCTTGCTATGATGTGTGCTGACCACCAGGGAGAGGCACAGAACATGGCGGGCAACCATCAGCAGCTACAGGGCAATGAGGGAGCAAGGGAAGGAAGTGGAGAGGCAAGGAGGCTAGGCCTACGGTCCCTACCCTGCATGAATTTCATGCACCAGGCTTCTAGTCTACTAAAAGATTTGTTGTAATAACTAATTTTGGTATGGATATTTCTAAATGAGTCATGTCTGTAAATTGATTTATTGGTCAAATATCTGTTAGCCTGTAGGATCAATATCACACGTGATTCATAGAAAGAATGGAAAGGTTTCCCTCTTTTTTTATTATCAGGAATGGCTCACATAACATTGAGATGAACGTTTTTGTAGAGGTTTAAATGAGTTCTCCTATGAAAGCACCTGCATCCTGTACTCGTTTGTGGGAAAACTCGGCTTTATTATTTCTTCCATATGAATAATAGACCATTACAAATTGCAAGGACAAGAATGAAGAAAAGACATTTGGGTCCCCACTTACCTAAGTACCCTTTCCCTTCTCATTCCCTTCCTTAAGGTCTTGTTGGTACCTGTACCTGAGTCTCTTGAATGAACATGGCTGGCCTTCAGGACAACACTCTGAGGATTGTTCTTGTGGGGAGAACTGGAAGTGGGAAAAGTGCAACAGCAAACACCATCCTTGGAAGAAGAGAATTTGAATCTAAAATTTGTGCCCATGCTGTTACCAAGAAATGTCAGAAAGCAGAGCGAGATTGGAATGAGAGGAAACTTCTTGTCGTGGACACCCCAGGGATGTTTGACACCAAGGAGAAACTGCAGACCACCTGTGAGGAAATCAGCAGGTGTCTCTGCTTCTCCTACCCTGGGCCTCATGCCATCATCCTGGTACTACAGCTGGGCCGCTACCGAGAGGAGGTTCAGAAAACAGTTGCATTGATCAAGGCCATCTTTGGGGAGGCAGCCATGAATCACATGATCGTCTTGTTCACTCGCAAAGATGATTTGGGTGATCAAACATTGCCTGAGTTTGTAGCATCATCAGACGTAAAACTGCAAAGTATCATCAAGGAGTGTGGGAACCGCTGCTGTGCCTTCAATAACCAGAAGAATGCAGATGAAGCTGAGAAGGAAGCTCAACTGCAGGAGCTGGTGGAGCTGATAGAGGATATGGTGCGGAAGAACGGAGGGGCCCACTTTTCTGATGCCATATACAAGGACACAGATGAAAAGCTGAAGAAAATCTATGCTGAGCAATTGGAGATGAAAATTAAGCTAACAGAAAAGCAATGTGATCAGGGAAAAATATCACAGGAAGAAAAAGAGGAAAAAATAAAAGTCCTAAAGATGAAGCATAAAGAACAAATTAAAAATATAAGGGAACAAGCTGAAAGGAATATATTTGCAAATATTGTACAAAGGATTTGGAATATGTTTTCAAATCTATGGCATAGCATTTTCAAATAGTGTAAATTTTCTTTTTTTTCTCTTTAATTTGCATTGATTTGTTACTGTGGTAGATTGTATTTTCAAAAAATGGTTACAACAGTATCTTCTATCCCACCTATTCTTCTTATAATCTGAGCATGCTTTTCCTTTTGTTGAGTTATATGGGTCTGTGCCACTGCCTTGCAATTCCATGGAATTTGTGGCTGATTTGACAAATAGCGAATGGCTGTGATTTCTAAAGTTAGATAGGGAGGATGCCTCCTTCCTCTTTGGAGTATGTGCCCTTAGCACTTGGCCACCATGTGGTGAGGAAGCCCAAGTTGTCCATCGAGTCCACATGAAGACGACATGAAATCACTGGCTCACTCCCCTGGCTGCTCTTTCATCTGCCACAGAAACAACTTGCCAGCCGTGCCTGTGAGGCAACATGGAAGCAGATTCTCCAGCTGACAACTGAGCCATCTCAGATGAAGCTGCAAAGAGCAAAGATGGGCCACCCCCACTGCATCCTGCCCAGGTTTCAAGAGAAAAATAAATGATTGTTGTTGCTTTAAACCACTAGGCTTCGGGATGGTTTGTTATGCAGTGACAGCTAACCAGAAGCATCCTCCCATCATTCCCCACCAATCCCCACAATGCCAACAAACTGAAGAACTTAGAAAATGGCATAATCATAAAATAATATATTATTAAAATAATATATTATGCAGATTTCACAGGCTCAATTTAGGACAATTCAAATGAGAAATCCTTCATATATCAGTGTTAGCACCACTGGTGATGCACATTATTTTAGTCCATGTGTCTGAGCCCCTTGTTAGTGAAGCAGCAGGATTCTCCAGAAAGATGGTTCTGTTGTCCATGTGAGGCAGGATAATAAGAAGCTAGGAAAATTCCTGGGCAAGTGGGGAAACAGACAAGAAAATTAAACAAGGCCAGTCTATTTGGGTGTCTTGCAGCCACCTTGTGAATCACAAAACTTTATCTTCACCAACCAAGGACACTTGAGAGCAAATGGTTTATATTCTCCTCTCTAACCAGAGGATTCATAGCTTACATCACCCTGGTCTGGGAAGTAGAGCACAAAGACCCAATTAAGGCCATTTGTGCCAGCTAAAACCAAGGGTAGAAGTCAGGGAAAAAATAACAAAAAACCCATTAAAGCCAGACAGACCTAAGATAAAAGTAAAACAAATCAAAGAATAATTCCAAACTCACCCATACACTCATTTTAATGCATCAGCATATTAAAAATTCACCTGGAAAGCTGAAAAAAAAAATAATAACAAGGGATAGAAAGCCCTCAGGACAAAAACTCATTGCTTTAGAGCAGGCCCATACCCTTTTCCAGACATGAACTTTTTATTTCTTCCTAAATGCTAAGGGTCCCCAGGAGAGACTACAGCCAGCAGAGCAGTGGCAGTGACAGCTGGACCCGGGCTCAGCCCTTGATCCTGTCTCCAAGGCTCCCTTGTCCCTGACTTCCTAGGGAGCTGAAGCAGGGACATGCCATGGCTCAGTTCTCTCCTATAACATTTCCAGAGCCAAAGCAGCCCCACCTAGGAGCTCTGCTGTGGCTTCTTCTACCTTAATCCCTTCCTTTATTTCACTGTCCCCAGATTTAATAAACATACTCGCAAAATCGCCTGGACTTGTGTTTTGAAATCTTTCCTGCATCAAATCAAGAACCCACACACTATAGGGTAGAAAAGAGGACATATGTAATCCTCTCAACAATAAAGATTAATTTTTTAAAAAAAAAAGACCCCACCCACTACAGGTCAGACTTTGGGCCAGTCCCTGTCCAGTAACACATGGACATCTGGGAGTTATGAAATTTTCTTACTGTTTCCCTCTTTCTTTTCTTTTTAAGGTACCTAACTTTAAATATCTATTAAAACATTAACTTGAAAATCTCTTCTCTGCCAAATGTTTTTCCTTTGCCTCTGCAGATCTATCCTTTGCCCTTCTTTACCCTAGCTCTTTGCCCAGGAGGCTGATCTATGCGGATCACATTGTTACCCAACTCAAAGGTTCTCCACTTGGGGTGTTGTATTCAAGAAGGAGACATGGTTGTCCCAAGACAGTTTTATTTACTTGTAGCAAATTAAGGAAACATGGGATTCATATAAAAAGATCTAATGCCTCAAAGGGAGTCTTGACCATAGCTTACACTATTTGGTCAATTACATGTTGGTTTATTCTTTGCAGTTGGCTACAGTTATACTGCTGAGTTCTTGTCAAGATCATCCTGTTTATAGCTGGACTGGTATATTTGAACATTTAGCAAGAACAGCATCTACACTAATAATATACTAACATGGTAATTGACCGTACCTTCGCTATGCTTCCCATTGGCTAATCAGGGTGATATGCAAATTAACCGCCAACAAAGATGGCGGTTAATTTGCATACATAGGCGCAATGCTGGGAGGCGAAAGAGGAAGGATGGATGAAGCCGCCTGCTGATGAAGGTGATCGGAAACCCAGGTGACAGCCAAGAGCCAGGTGGCAGGGCCGTGATCGGAGAACCAGGATGCCTTTGTCCGCCCTGGCCAGTAATCGGAGAAGCCGGGCCAGAGGCCTAGCTGTGTCGCTGCCTGGGGATGTGATCTGGTCCCAGGGGGTGAAGCAGCCAGGCTCCAGACGGAGACCCAGAAGCCCGGGCTGCATCACCACCAGGGAACGTGATCCGGTGCCCGGGTGGCAGCACAGCCCCGGCCCCAGAAGGAGACCCAGAGGCTGGGGCTGTCCGCCCCACATCAGCAAGCAGGAGGCAGCTCTTCACCTGGAGGCTTAAGCCCAAGGTGGGAGGCGCCATTTTCTGTATGGAAAGGCAGGGGGCGTGGCTAAGCACAAGGTGGCACCATGTTTGTGTATGGAGAGGCAGGAGCGTGGCTCAGAGTGGGGCAGTCTCACGTATGGAGAGGCGGGGGCATGGCTCAGAGTGGGTGGCACTATGTCCGGAGAGACCAGTGCTGAGGCCTGGTGTTCGCCTCAGGATGCAAGGGGCGGGAGAGGAGCGCAAGGTAGAGGAGTGCGACTCCAGGCAAGTGAAGGAAAAGGGCAGGTCGCCCAGCCGCGACGCCGTTCCAAGCTTCCCAGGTTTTCAAATGTAAATATTACTTCAGATGTTGTAGTTGCACATAGTTTATTCCCTTCCCCTCATCATGGCTGTTAAAGTCATGCCCCCCCCCTGGGCAGCCAGGCCTCACATTCATGGCACAGACGAGGTTTGGTTCTGGGGTCACCCCTTAGATTTTTAGTGGCTGCTACACTTGGTCGATAGGAAGAGTGAGACTTTAGCCCTGAAAAGACGGAAGGCTTGGGGCAGATGGTTCCCTCAAGGGCTCAGCCTGCTTTCGGGCCGTAGGCACAGGGAACATCCAGGGAAGCCCCCAGAGCAGGCATCCATCTGAGCTTGGACGAGGCCATTTTACAGCCTACCCTTCCTCCATCCCAGGTGGTGGGGGCCGTGACTACCTCAGCTTGTAACTGTAAAACAGCGCACACAAAGAGAATCTTTTTTTTGTGCCTCATGTTAAAAAGTTTAAAAACAAAAAAAAAGGTATGTGGGACTCCTCACTGTGTTCATTTGTAAAAAAAAAAAAATGCTCTTAAGACCCCAGGTGACGAGGCAGCCCAGCCCCAAAGAAAATATATGCACAACCCATGCACACAGACAATAGAATGGTGATGGCCAGAGAGAAGTGGGGGGCAAGAGCTGGGTAGAGGGGGCAAAGGGGGGGAAATAGGGACATCCTATATAAT